CAACCTCAATCTCTTCTCCATTGGTAAGAATGTTGTTTATTGGTCCGAATGTTGTTTATTGGTCCAGTGGTGAGGATTTTTGTTTTCTTTACATTGAGTTGTAATCCACACGTAAGGCTGTGCTCTTTGATCTTCATCAGTAAAGACAGACTAGGAAGAAAGAGTGACAAACTACTTCTGAATCGCTAATCACTGAAAACTCTATGAATACCAGGAAGGATAGACCCCTCCAAAGAAAATCACCAAGACATATCATAATCAAGCTCTCCAAAATCAAAGACAAGGAGAGAATCCTAAAAGCAGCCAAGGAGAAGAGAATTGTTATTTGCAAAGACAAGCAAATCAGATTAAGTTCTGACCTCTCAGAAGAAACCATGCAGGCAAGAAGGCAATGGGGAGACATATATAAAACCTTAAAAGAAAAAAACTGCCAATCGAGAATCATTTACTCAGCAAAGCAGTCAACTAAATATGATGGTGCAAATCAAAACATTCCAAGATAAACAGAACCTAAGAGACTTTGTCAAAGGCAACCCAGCACTTCAAACCATCCTAAAGGCAGTTCTGTGAACTGAAAACCAACAAGAACAGGCAACAACCAGAGAATGACAGACATGGCAACACGACCTGGAACTTAGACGACAGACTATTGTTGTGAAGTGCCATTGAGTCAGTTCCAACCCATAGCAACCCTGTAATAGGGTTTCTGAGGAGCAGCTGGTGAGCTTGAACTGCCAACCTTGCAGTTCAAATGGCTTGGCAGTCTGGCGCATTAACCCACAGTGCCACACCAGGACTCCAGCAGCTAGCAGAGTTCAAAACAGGATGAAATTACAAAAACAAATTCAAAGGAGCTAGGAGATCAACCAAAGTTCAAAATAGTAATATAAAAGAAGGAGAAAATATAGGAACAGATATCCAGGTGATGAGGAGGTCAGGTAGACTGCAGAGTACAACAGACTGTCTTAAATGGAGGGAAAAGTCAGAAGACTACAAGGTAACCTCCAAGAAAGGTAATACTTCACAACATACCATAAAAATGAAGATATAAGTAGAACAAGGAAACATTAAAACCAAGAAGAAACTGACAAGAAATAGCACAAAAAACATGAACTCAGCACAAAAAGGCACGCAGAAAAAAGGAACAAACAGCACCACAGAAAATTAATACAATGACAGCAATTAATTCATACTTATCAACAATTACATTGAATGTCACTGGATTAAATGTAGCAGTGAAGAGACAGAGAGTCGCGGAATGGATGAAAAAACAAGACCCTTCAATATGCTGTCTGCAAGAGACACACCTTACACACAAAAGTTAAGGCAAAAGCAGACTGAAAGTTAAAGGATGGAAAAAAATTATGCCAAGCTAATTGCAATAAAAAATGAGGAGCGGCAACCACTGATAAAATAAACTTTAAGGCACACAATGCCATAAAATTAGAAATCAACAATAAAAAGACCAAGGAAATAAAGTCAAATACATGGAAACTGAATTTCTTCTACTACCCTGCTGAAAAGTGACTGGGTAGTATAAGAAATTAAACGCGTACTCACAAAGTTCCTAAAACCATTGAGAATGAAAACACAACATATACCAAAATCTTTGAGACATGGTAAAAGTGGTGCTGAGAGGACAGTGTATTGCAATAAATGCACACATCCAAAAAGAATAAAGAACCAAAATTAACACATTAACACAACATCTCCAATAATCAGAAACAAACGTGGGAACCTACAGTCACCAAGAGAAAAGAAATAATAAAGATTAGAGCAGAAATAAAAAAGATAGAACACAGAAAAACTATAGAAAGAATCAAAAGGGCAAGAAGCTGGTTCTCTGAAAGGATTAATAAAATTGACAAACCACTGGCAAACCTAACAAAAGGAATGAGGGAGAAGACACAAATAACACACATTAGAAACCACATGGGCAATGTCACAATGGAACCAAAAGAGAAGCAGTGACGCCAGAGATGGAGGCAAAGACGATGATGTGGAGAGATAGAGCAGCTGGGGACTCTAGACTCAAGGAGGGAGAGGGGTTGTGTGCTAGTGTCCCAGGGGTGGGGGGAAGGAGGTGACAGGCTTGCAGGGTATTCCTTTTGGCTGTCTGAACAGTTATATGTTCCTGAGTGCTTTGGCATACATCAAAAACAAAAAAAGAGAAAATGGAAGTAAATACTGTTGAATGATGATGCAGGAAGGAGATTGTAATCATTGCAACGAAACGAAATATGATAGAATGAAGGTAAAGCTGATGCTCTCCCATGTAAACTACCACTCAACTCACAATAAAAACTTAAAACAAAAAGGAAAGGTGCAAGTAGTAGTCAGATTTAGGAAGGTTTGGGTTTTTTTTCTCTTGGTGGTGTGTGTGTCAAGTATATACGAAAACATTTGCCAATTCAATCATTTTTACCTGTATAATTCAGTAACACTGATCATAATCTTCATGTTTACAAACATTTTCACTATCTTGTTCCAACTGATTCCATAACCATTAACATAAACCAGTGCCCCTAAACAGAAATTCTCCTTCTTCCCTTTGTCTCATCTTTGGTTGGTATGTGCCGTGGAGTCGGTTCTGACCCATAGCGACCCTGAACAGGGTTTCCGAGGCTGTAAATCTGTATGGGAGTAGAAAGCCTCATCTTTCTCCTGCAGAGCAGCTGGTAGTTTCGAACTGCTGACCTTGCAGTTCGCAGCCCGATTCATAACCACTACACTACCAGAGCTCCATCTTTGGTAACCACTAATAAATAAGCTATGATTTCTATGTTGCTGTTGTTGCTGTTGTTGTTACAAGCCATCAAGTCAGCTCCAACTCATAGTGACTCTGTTCAGGGTTTTCAAGAAAGGACTAGTGAGTTTGAACCTCCAACCTTGAGTTTCAAACCAACCTTACAGTGCAGTGCTTTATCCCACAGTGCCACACCAGGACTCCATTGTTTCTATATACAAGCCTATTTCATCAGAATGAAATCATGTAATAGTTGTCCTTTGTGACTGACTGATTTCACTCAGCACAGTATTTTCAAGGTTCCTCCATGATGTGGCATGTGTCAGGGCTTCATTTTCTGCATGGCTGAGGAATATTCCATTGTATGTATACATCACATTTTGGTTATTCATTCATCTACTGACACACATTTAGGTTGTTTTCATATTTCAATTACTGTGAATAGTAAGTACTACAATGAACATTGGGGTACAATTTCTATTTACATTCATGCCTTCCAGTATCTGGTGTATACACCTAGGATTAGGATTGCTGAGTCTATGTTCATCTTTTGCAGGAACCAACAGTTAGTTCTCCACAGCTTCTGCATTACTTTGCTTTTCTACCAGCAATGAATGACACCTGTTAGTTTCCTTTTTTTAAAAATCAAAGTCACTGTAGTGGGGATAAGGTAGTATTTCATTTTGGGTTTTATTTGCATTTAGGATTTGGGAAGTTTTGATAGTAACACATGAAGAACTTATTGATAGACTGGGTATGAGGAAAAAAAAGTCAATTTTGTTTTAAAGCGTACTTTGATATAGCAATACATGTATAGCTGTACCATGTGTCTTTCAGTTAGCATTTGCATGATGTGTCTTTCTCCGTCATTTACTTTGAGGATTTCTGAAGACTTTATTTTAGATATATTTCTAAGTGACACACAGTTGGGTCTCATTATTGTATGCAGTTTACACTTAGAGCATTTATATTTTAAAGTTGTTTTATTTCAACTCTGTCTCCTTTATAGAAAACCTCAAATGCTAATAATACTATGCATGACCATCTGACCCAACCATCAGAAAGGAGATGGCATTCCTTTAAACCTTCAGAGCACTTACTTATATCTCCTTTATGACATGATCAGGTTCTGCGAGTTATTACAATGATTTCTAAGTGTGTTTAATTGTCCCTACATAGGACATAAAAGGAGCCTGGTAATATAGTGGGTTACAAGCCGGACTGCTAACAGCAAGATCAATAGTTCTAATCTATCAACTATTCCACAGGAGAGAGAGAAGGCTTTCTACTCCTATAAAAATTTAAAGCCTCGGAAATCCTATATAGAGTCGCTATGAGTCAGAACCAACTTGGTGCTACACAATCACCAACACCACATAGAATATAAATTCTCCAAAGAATGAACCAAATATTAAGTATCTTTGCATCAAAAAAGAGTTTAAAAGGTACTTCTGACAAGATGGTGAACAAGGTAGATGTGCTCCATGGAACTTATACAACAAAGACACAAGAGAAAATGAACAGACACAGGTTAATATCCTGGAATCTGGAACTTTAGACAAAAGGCCCAAGACGTGGACTGAATATTACTGCGAAGAGAACCTGAGCAGGGACAGTGAGGCAGGGAGACTGACCAGTGAATGGCCAGCTAGATGGGACACGACCATCTTGAACTTTTGTGAACAGATCTGGTGACAGAAGGTGGCCTAACAAAGCAGAGCAACAAACGTGACAGGAAAAACGTGATTCCCTGTTGTTCCTCAAGCTCCAATAGTGATCAGAGATGTGGCCTTATCCATGTCTTATCCAACGCCTGGGCATACCCTGTTCTTGAGTTTAGAGCCGTGTGGCTGGGAGCCATGCCAGTTTGAAGGAGAGGCTGGCTGTACCATTTTGGTGCCTAGGTTCAGGTAAGATGAGCTCCAGGTCTACAGAACCCACGAAGCCACAAGACTAGCATTTGTTATTTCTTGTTAAATGCTGTAAAGTCTGTTCCAACTCATAGCAACTCTTGATATGGTTTCCAAGAAGTAGCTGATGTGTTGACCCAGACCAGAATTACTCAAGTAAAAACCCTCATAACAATCCACCATGCCCCAGCTGCCCTGTGGTCCTCACAGATACTGAAACCAGCTCCACCAAGGGCCTCCACTATTGAGTACCCTGAATATAGGTAACACGTTGACCTGCATGACTCCTTCCAGGGCCAGGAACTCCACTGTCACATCCCTCCTACACCCACCTCATGAACTCCATGACTGGCAGGAGACATTCAGAATTTTCACCTGCTTTTTTCTGGCTTGGGTACTGGTTTTGCTTTACTTTTCACTGTTGTATGATTTTTGTTTGTTTATTCTTTCTTCCTCGTCTCTTTTGATTCCCTAGAATTTTATTCTAGCTCCTCTTTTGTTTTTCTGTCTTTTTTTTGTTTCTCATTTCCCCTCTTTTTCTTTTTTTCTTTCCTTTTAGTTTTTCTTTACTTCTCTGTACTCTATTTCTCTTTTCACCTGCACTCTACCTAACAAAGGGGAACCAAAAGGAGTAAGCTCTGATTTATCAGCAGAAACCATGCAGGTAAAAAGGCAATGGGGATGACATATACAAAACTCAAAAAGAAAAAAAAGTGCCAACCAAAAATCATATACCCAGTAAAGCTGTCCTTCAAATACGTTTCCAGATAAACAAAATTTAAAAGGAATTTGTAATAACCAGACTAACTTTACAAAAATACTAAAAGGAGTCAGCCCTTTGCACTGAGAACTAGCAACAGGAGATAACAACCTAAAATTAGCATACATGACAACACCACACAGTACTCAATCCAGTTATAGAAGTATTTAAATTAAAACAAATTAACAAGACTGAAAATAGGGAACCACAGATATCTATTTATAAAGAAGCCAACTACAACAAAAAGAGTGAATAATATAGATACAGAGCTGCCAAATGGCAAGGAAGTCAAGCAGATTTGAAAACTAAACAGGATGTTTAAAATGGGGAAAAATAAGTTTCACAGTAACCTCAAGGAAAACTAATATACTTCCATATCAAAATTAAAAAGATGAAAATTAGAAAGATTTAATAAATATTTAAAACAACAGAAATGAAAATAAAACCTAGGAAAACACTCAGTGCAGAAAATTCTGTGGGAAACAGAAACCAGTAGCACCACACACACACACACACAAAAAAAAAAAACACATAGCAAAATGACAGCAATCAGTTCATTATTGTTGTTGTTGTTGTCAGGTGTCATTGAGTCGGAACCGACTCATAGCGACCCCATGCACAGCAGAACGAAACAATGTCTGATCCTGGGCCAACCT